TGGGTGCAGTTTTGGATGACACTTCGGGCTGTATGTGGATCCACTGTATAGAGTGGATTTGTAACTTCTCAGTTAGAAGACTGGGTGCAGTTTTGGATGACACTTCAAGTTATATGTGGATCCACTGGATAGAGTCCAAAAGACTGAACATAATAGGGAAGTTTTAGGGTTTTTTAGTCCAGAATGCAAAAGACAGATTGCCAACAATTTCCAATTCATAAAAAAGCAGTTGAAAAAAAGTAGGTTTTCAAAAGATTGCAAAGGAATGTTCTATTCTTTCCAGTGATGGAGGACAGGACAAGATGTACCACACTTAGATTATCATAGAATTAGTTTAATCAACAAGTAAAGATTAGAAATATTAAGTGTAACCAAACTCAGTAACAGATTATATTATGAGAACGAATCTCTATCACTACAAATCTTGAAGATGAACAGAAAGACAGAAATAAATAGGTAGAAAAGAGTCTGTCTTAGAAAGGGACTAAATGATCTCTGGAAGTCATTTCCAGGCCTATGTTATTTTATTTGTTAAAGTGTCAGATTGACCAGACTATCACTTAGCAATTGGTACTTGACATTCTGAAGGTTAAATCAGAATTTAGCTGTCAGGTTATGAGATGAAAAGGCATTAGCTTTTCATATCAACTGGATAAAACAGTTCTTTTTACAATCACCTTTCTATGAGGTAAAAATAACATGAAACTTGCAGACTGGTGACTATGTTCTGATCTTTAAATATATCAACAGAATAATTTTTAAGTTAGTCACTTCTTGATATTCTCCTAATACTTTATTACTATTGTCCATACTTAACCCTAATAAATATAGCAATATAGTAATGTTTTTGTTAAAAATGTTAAGTAGTCTTATGCCTAGTGAAATATTTCTAACATTTTTAGCATAAATCTAATAATATTCCAAACACTTCTTATCTGCATGATGATTATATTTTCCTATCAAAATGTCAGGTGATACAAAAGATACTTCATTATTGGTGTTTTATAAGTAAATTCTTTATAAGAGCAACAATATGCATGAAACAAACAAAAAACCAGATGTTTTCCTATGTAAGTAGATGTATATGCAGGGGTTCAAGCTGAATACTTTTAAGTGTACTGAGATTGCTACTTTCGAAGTTTTTGTTTCAAACAAAATACAAGAGAAACTGTGACTTTTTCTAATTGGATAATGTACAGACATATTTCTGTATTCAGCCAAGAAGTTACCTCCAAGTCATGGCAAGAATCCTCTACAGAATTCTTGCCAGAATGTCCTAAAATTCACCACTTGGAGAAAAAAAGTAATGAAACAACAGGGAAGGAGTGCAACACCATTTGGGGTTGTCATTGAGCAGTCTCTCACCTAATAGATGACAAATCCATTGAGGATTACTAAATACGTGGGAACTGTCTCTGACTTGGGAAGCCCCTGAGATGCCAAAGATACTAGGAAAATACTCAGAGGAAGCATAATTTATTTGCATTGTTCTTATGCTCTTACTGAGGCATCTGCTGACTGCTGTCAGAGACATGAGACTGCGGCTGGATGGAACTCTGCTTCCAGTAAATTTGAAAACATTATTTCAATAATTCTATGCTGTTTCAATCCTAGCAAGAAATCTCAAAAGTCTCACTGTCACTTTGTCAAACTATTTCAGAGATTAGAAGTTTAGCAATGTTCTCGCTTATCACCTGAAGCAAGGTTAATTCCTGAGTGAACATCTCAGACAGCAGCCAATACAAGACATAGCAAATCAACTTAACGCTCCTTGACTATGGGCCAGGTTACCATAAGTCACTTTCCAGTGACTCAAAACAATTGCACAAGCAATTCCTGCGGCTCAGCTGACAGGTGGTATCCTGGCAGGATGCTCTAACTTGACCTTGAATCCACAAATCTGAACCAGAGATGTTGTACTCTTTGATTGGAAGTCTATCATCTGAGGCGCCTTGGACACCTACTCAGTGCTTCATTCTGGTGACAGCTTGTTGAATTTTAAGTGCAGTTTCTTGCAAAAAAGGTGTGTATGTAGCTCACTGGGGGACTCTTCAGAATAATGCTTGAAAGGATATGGGGATATAACATTTTGTTCAGTTTGCTGGCCTGAGATATCATACCAGTTTTTAACAAGTATTTTCACGATATAAATTTTTTTTAATATTTTGACAAGTGTTAAGTTTAAATGAAGACATTATTTGAATAAATATGCTTTGTCTCCCTTTAAAGGAAATCAAGCATGCTTAGTTTAAATTTTCCAAGGCACAAAAAACATTTAACTACCGTGTAATACTCATAGGAGCTAAGAATCCAGCGCATGCATCTACTTTGAAGCCATTCCCTAAAATCAATGTTAAGATACAGTCAAGTAGCACAGCGTGGCTCTTGAATGGACAAAAAAACCCCCACACATGCAAACAAAACTCTATTGATACTACTGTACTACTGTCCCAGTATTTAATTTCTTATCCTGGGGAAGAGGGAGGAGAGAAAAAAGGAGAGAGAATAATAGTTCTGATATAAACCAAATAAAACTGACAACTGGTGAGATCACAGAGAGAAATGTGGGTTTTTCTTGCATTTTTATTTTCAGCCTTGACTATATCCATATCACAGTCTTGAGCTTCAGCTTATCTCAGCCTTTTTTCCTGACATAAATATATTCAGTTCACCTCATAGAGATAACAGACTCACAAATACTGTCAAGATAGCTAGAAACCTGCCTGTAGTTTTCATATCATTCATCATGAGAGACCTCTCTGTGATGTTGCCAAAACTAACAGAGAGTCTTATATCTTTTGGAAAAAAAAAAAGAGGTTTTCCAAAACCTGTTATCATTGCTACTTTTCTTAATTAGTCTTTGTCCATGCTACAAAGCTGAAATCTACTCACTAGATAAATATTTTGGTATTTAATTCCATTTCTGGTATTTCTCAAGGAATGACAAAGTCATTTCAAGGAGCAAAGCACAGCAGAGTGTTTCAGGAGAACTGTAGCATCATTAAAGTCTTTCTCTGCTTGAAGAACTACAAATTACTCAGTGCTGTACAGCCTGTCTCCAAAAGACTAGTACTCAGAGTCTAGTCCAAAAGACTGGACTCATCTGTCTCCAAAGGCTGGCTGCATCTCCTTTTACTCTGTAGTGATTTGTTCTGTTTGTGGTTTCCTCACCCTTTGGTAATTCTCCCCGTTCCTCCTTATTCCTTTCATTTGCTACCAGTATATTCCAATATGGGGTTTTCCTGTTGATTTATAGAAATGCTGCAGCAAAATATGTGTGAACCTTGTGGAATCATTGTTCAAAAGCAGGCTGACCTTAGCGGAGCATTGACCTGCCATAGAAGTCAGGGCAGAAAAATAAACAAAACCCTCAACTCCCAGAATTAGCTGTCTGGGAGCAGAGGTATTTCCAGGCATCTTGGGTACTTGAATGAGTCTGCATTTCCACACGGACACAACTCACATTTAGGAGCTTCTCCCTAGACCATTTAGCATGGTCTTTAAAGGTAAAGGTCAATAGTTATAATTAATATAAACTATTGACTTCTTATCCATTATGTGTCTCCAGAACTACCTGGTTAGCTTCTTTTCTTACATAAATGGAAAGGTAGTGTTTGTTCGCCTGTCAACTGGAAGAAGTTTCCCATGATGACTTTTAGTAAGCTATCACTAGAGGAAGTTAGGAAAGTTTGAAAAATTTGCTGGTTAAAACTTTCCCAACTGGGTCATTTCCAATCGGCAAAAGAGAATGAGGAACTAGGTTGTGCATTTGATATAAATTCCCAGTGATGGGAACCCATCTTCTGTCAGCAGATGATAGCTTTAGAGGCTCATATACGCCTGACTGTGACCTGAGCTGAATTCAGTCAGAGTGCCAGTAACCACAAATAATATCAGTTTAAGAGTCTGATCCAAAATACTGAATAATTTATAAGCTATAGGATTTTTTCCAGGAAAGTTAGAAGTCACTGAGGGAGAGTCTTCGAGGAAGATCAGATGTGAAGATAAAGGCCTTTTTTGATTGTATAGTCAAAGAACCAAAGACTCCCAATTTAAGATTTCTGCTTTAGTGTGGTGTCCTAGAGATAAAAATGAGCTTGCCTATACAGGAACTAGAAATGAGCATGCTTTGCCAGAGAAAGTTCTCACTCTTTTGCAGAGCTTTAAATGTCTGTATGGGGAGATATTCTCAGATAATCCTCCTCTGCATTAGAGGGAACAAATATCAGTCATATACACTACACTTGCTGACAGTCAGATTGACTTGGTGCTTTAAATTGTCCCAGTATAACTTCTCTGTGTTCTCTCCACCTGGAGTCTTCTTTCTTTCCTTCTGCAGTTTGACTCAGATCACTAAGGATACTGTCTTAAATCTTTCAGAACAACTAAGTGCCCCAATTCGAACAGGGGGTTGCAGTTCTAGTCTTTCACAGGTGAATGAATTAGCCATTACCTTAACTATGCCTATATGTATTATGCTCATGTAAGACAGAAAGTGGAATCATTATAATTATTTCAACAACAGAATCACACCTAAGTGAAATAGATAATACCTTGCAAGACCAGATTCTGATTATTTTTTAACTTTACCTTCTATTATCTATTTCCCTGCATTGCTTTCGTCTTTTTCTAGTTGATTCTCCCATCTCTCACAAAGTTCTTTACCCCTTCTTCATGTCTCAGCTTCTTCTCTCTTACTTTGCCTTTCTTACCTCAGCAATAACACTAACTTATGCTTTCCTCCTTAACATTGTTGCAGCTGCTTCAGTGCAGAAGTATACTGACTACATCTCTGAGTAATCCCTTCCCTGCTGATAGGAATCTTGAGGTATTGGCACTACCACAATATGTATACAGAAGAGAGCAGGAGTAGTAATAACAAAAGGAATTTTCACACAGTACTTACACATCCATGAATGCAACTTCATCCATGGTTGCTCTAGGAAAACAGAGTACATTCCTATCAATATACTACATATTTTCAGAGTTCTTGTACTCACCTCCAGTCAACATGAGAGCACATTTACACATACAGTTGTCATTGTCAGCATCTTTCGTACTGAATTCAGCACCATGTAAGATCAGGCTACTTTGTTTCCCAGCTGTTCCACTGTGACCTTTTAAATAAAGCCTGAAACAGCAAGAGAAAACAATCAGTGTCACCGAAAAGAAAAACAATCCAGATCTCTTTCCACATCAGTTTTGGCTTGTATGAAGTGCACCCAGAAAATTCAGAATTGTTTTGTGTTTCGGCTCAATTTCTTTGTTTATTCACGTGTAAAATGGGGACATTCAGAGTTTTTCAGTGTAGCTGTAGCAGCATATTGTCCTTGCCCCAGAACAGAACTGAGCACAAGGAATCTGTACCAGAAAATGCAACAAAGTAGAGGCAGTCAGAGACAGAAAAGAGAATGAGGAAAGGTGCCCAGAGATCTGGAATACATTGACGGAATAATTGAGTATTTGAGTAGCTGGTCTCTTCACTGTGGCACAGAAACAGCAGTCCCAGTTAACAGCAGCCACGTTATTAATCCCTGGGCTCGAAAGAGGATTTCAGCAGTTTCAGAATTTTTAATTCCACCACTTAGAGCACAAGCCAGCAATACTCTTCTGCCAAAGCTGTCTCTGAGTGATGAATGGAGAATAACTTAGAGTTCAAGCCACAAAAGTCTTCATGATTTGCAATGTTAAGTCTTCCTTTTCTCAAGGAACTTTGTCAACTAGTTGAAACCACAACCATGAGCTAGGAGCCTGAGGCCAGCTCCAGCAAGTAACAGAATGTTTGTAGTGTTCAGTGCTGTAATGCCCAAAGCCAAGTCTGCCAACTGCAGGGATGCTGAATGAAGTATCTCTGTTCCAGCAAGGAAACACCGGGGATCTGGGCATGTCTGATCTGAGTTCAGAACTGCAGGGACATGCACAAGAAAATGGAAGAGAAGAGAAGAGAAGAGAAGAGAAGAGAAGAGAAGAGAAGAGAAGAGAAGAGAAGAGAAGAGAAGAGAAGAGAAGAGAAGAGAAGAGAAGAGAAGAGAAGAAGGCTGCACACAATGGTTTCCCTTTCCTCTGCTGAAGCATCTCTGTGAGACTGACAACAGTGGGAGACATGTTCACAGCAAAAACAGTTTCATGTACATAGCTACGTACACCAAACACCTGACCATTACTTTCTTGTTTTTTTGTTAAACATTGATGGAAGCGGAAGGTGTAATTCGCCGTAATAGCTTCATATGCAGGAAGGAGGAGACAGGACCTTAATGTCTACTGGAGAAATATGAAGTCATAATTCTTACAACTCAGAAACAAGCCCTAGCCTCTGGAGCAAGAGAGGGGAAAGAGCATCCCCCACTTGTCTCTCTGAAGATCTACAGGCAGGAATACATGAACCACAGGGCTAACCAAGAATATGATTCAGTATCTAGTGGGATAGACTTCACTGAAGAGAAAATGAGAAACATCAGTTCTGTTTCTTCTAGGGTTATTGAAGAGAGGCAAGCTGCCTCTTAGATCATTGTATTTTTATCCAATGACTTTTGAGGAATAAAGAAAGTAAATGCCTTTACCAGAGTGTCATTTCTCTATTTGTTTTGATGGAAGAGAGACGCTTCACTGCAAAGTGGTCACTGTGTTAACAGCAGGAGTGGAGAGCATCCCTAAACCATCATAGCCTACACAGTAGTAGTTAAGTCATTGTTATTTTGCTGAGATGAGGAGAATCTGTCCTCCAGACTGAGATTTAAATAAAAGCCAGTTCTCCTACAGAACTTTGGGTTTGGATCTCTGCTTATGAAAGGAAGGAGAAAGGGGACATGGGTACCTTATGGCAGCTTTCCTTAATCAGGTGTATGGCTGCTGATTTTTTTTTTGGTCTTGCATGCATCTGTGGGTGGATATTAGATCCAAACAATGCCAATATGTTTAAACTTGTCATGGAAACTCATTACAGGAAAGCGTCTTTTAGATATCGCAGTGAGGTTACTAAGCCCTCTCAATATGTGAAGACATAGAACCAGCACTTGGGGCTCTAGAGATCTGAGATTCACACTTTCAGACTGACTTAAACTTCACCTAATTTTCAGCGAAATTCTTCCCATGTGTCCGTTCTCCACCTTTAAAAAAGGAGACAACAGATTCTAAGCATGAACATTTTAAAATAAAAATGTATTAAGAAATGAGAACTGTCAGGGCTATCCTTCCAAAGTGGTTACACTGCTTATCTTCATTGGATTTTAATGTTTCATGTCACCTGATCTGAGCCTGATGATTAAATACCTTTGGACTTAATCCTTAGAGTAAATTTTATATATAGGTATGTACACACACATACACACATAAAAATTATTGGATTAAATATGGATACGGTAGATAGTTAAATACCTTTCATTATCACAAAAATGGAACAGGGATTCACGAAGGTCATTGCATTATGCTATTGTCCAATCACAGTGGCAATTAGCCCATATTTACCAAGTTATTCTTTCAAAGGATGCTTATTTCAGAGAAGATTACTCTAAGATCTGTCTTTGCTCATGTTCATTTCTTTGCTCCATACTAATGAAATGCTGGAATGAATCCCACCTTCATTCATTGGACTTATGCCTTGTTTTGCAAGCTGTGTCTAATTTTTTGCAGAACAAAATAAACTTCCCTGAGGCTGTGTTGATAGAAAAATTACTTGGTCACATGATATCTACAATCTGATTTTAAATGGCCATACATCCTCACTACATCAGCAACACCAAAGCTCACAGAAGTCTCATAAAGTCAGTACAAAAAGCAAATGTTGTTTACTTAAACAGAAAGACAATGCTAGCCAGATCTTTTTATTAACAATCAGCAATATAAAACCCACTTAGTCCAATAAATAATTCATATAATGTAAGAAAATAATAAAGATATTAATAATACTTGGTGTGCAGTGTTTTCCCCAAAGGGGTAGGGCATTAGGATTATTTACAAGCTCATACTCTTGCCCCGATATTTTATAAACATTCCACTCAGCACAGATTTAGATCTTGCTAGCTGTGTTTGACTTTCCTTCAACACCATTTGTCTACTAAGTCTCCAATGACTTTAAAAGGATAAAGCTTAACTTAGCTCCAAACTCTTGCAGGCTTACCATACTGCAGCAGTGTACAGAAGAACCACAGGATGAACCGACAATGCTCTTGCTTTGGGCCTTTCTCCCTGAATTGGCACTACCCAACAGTTAGGAAAAAAGTTGTGAAGTATCAGGTGTCAATCAAAAGCCAAAATCAGTCCTGAAGCAGCCATTTCTTATGTTTCTGAGCTTCTGGTCAAGCTGTATGGGTCCAAACTAGCCTGGCTTGAGATAGCAAGTCTGTATAGCACTAGGGAAACTGATGAGCCTGCTAGCTCCCAGGCAGCATAGATGTCTTACTCTGATCCCTCCTCAAGGCAGAGGTTGTTCATTTTGATGGAAAGGGTCATTGAATAAAATGGATGCATGGGGTTCAGAATCCTCTATGCAGAATATTCTATTCTGAGCCCTTTCCTCACTGGGTTTCCATTTTTTCCTAATCTCAGTAGGAGAGGAGGGCACCTACATCTAAGCCCTTTTTCTAACCTGCTGGTGACCACCTACACTTTGTGTATAGGAATAGGTCTACACATAACGTAAGTGTGGAGAAATGTAAGCTCGCACTGACTGTCCTCCATGTTAGGCATGTGAAAGGCATTTTGTTTTTAAAACTCATATGACTGCCATTGTTTTGTCCCCTAGTTTTGAAATGTCTGAGGTTGAGGAAGAATTTAACTTGCACCTTCCATCTGGTTCACACTGGGATCTAAATTTTAGATAGTTTTATTTTGTGAAATGAAACTCACACCTAACGATGGAGATTTTGGTAGACTTTTATGAATTACTGAAATTAATTTATAATGATATTTAGTTGATATTTAGTTGATTGTGAACCAAAGCCCTCTGGCCTGCACCCATTTAGGAAGACCCAGTAAGAGATTATCCTCTGGTTACTCTCTCTATTTTGTTCAAAAATACTAATAATATCAAGTAAAAAACACCACCCAAAAAAACCCCCAACCAAATACACTCAAAACCAGATAGCAGCTTCATTTTAAGTTCAGACTTTTTTATCAAAAATGCTTTGATTAATTATTTGGGGATCACAAATAATTTGTTTATCATGAACAAAACATAATGTCTACTTGAAGTAATATTAAGTGTTGTCAGCTCCTTGTTCAAGTTTCCCAATATGTCTTTTCCTGGGGATATTACAAAATACCATGAAGTGTCCTAATAGTAACAGTTGTCTCTGAACAGTAAAAGCACCTCTGTAATAAAGACATCTTGCAAGTATTTAATGGTAGATAATGTGTTGTGAACAGGAGACAAAATCTAAATATTTACTCTAGAGAACAACTGCTATGGCTGAGGTTGAAGCTAAAAATCCTGTTCTGCCAAAATCCTGTTCAACTTGGAACTAAATATAATGTGGTTAACTATCTGGGAAGCTTAACGTTGGTATTCAACTTTTTCATCATTTCATACTCCCACTAAAGGACAAAGAGAGAAATCCCTTTTGTGTGCTAATTTGTAAATTCAGTGGAAAGACTGTCTCCTTGTTGGAGATAGAGCATGAGTCATCTGTGGCAATCGGTGAGATCCCTGTGGTTTTGAACTCTTCTGGGTTGCAGAGTAGAAGGCATCATAGTTGGTGCTTTTGCCCTTCAGATTACAGCTAGATTGCCTGGGCACCCATTTGCACCCTTTTTCTATGTTAGGAACTAAAACTTTTCCTTAAATGTAACATACTTTTCCAGGGAAGCATGTTTAATTTAGGTTATATCCAGGCAGTGTACACTCTCCTTATGAAAACAAACACAGTTAAACCAGAGCCCAATATTTCATCATAAATCAAGTTTGGTTAAGCAACAAGAACTTAACACCAGGTGAGGTAAGTGATCATCAGAAGTAAATTAAAAACTACCCTCAAAGAAAGGAAAATACTTTGGAGAAATTAAAGAAACTAGATAGGGTGGAAGATGACAAAAACTTCTTTAGTCACCACTTCTGTCACCAAATTTTGACCTGTTAACCCATTCATCCAAGTTGCAAAACAATTCACCGCCTTTATCGCTGCCTGTCCTTGAAAG